TCAGCACTCTTACTACATTTGCAACGTTTTCATGGTGTTTGAGTTTATTCTTTATTTTCTTGATTTACAATTAAAAAATAATAATTTTGGAGATGTTTTTCGAATATGAATACTCATTTTCATGTCTCAGCCACGTAATTGCCTTATGCCCTTCCTCTACCCTGTTACTTGGGCATTGGAGGGGGGGACTTCTATGGAGGGCATACAGTTCCTTATGTGTAGATAGGTAGAGTCTGATGCTTTTTCTTTTGTTGACTATGAGGCTGAGTTGTGGGAGATCAAGGACAGACTAGTGAGAATTTAGACCCTATTTTTTCCAGCACCTTCCTTTGCTCAGACAGCTACTTCTGATCCATCTGCTTCACCCTCTTTACAACTAGTATGCCATGTTTGTAATGTTTTGTGTATTTCTCCTGTGGATTATGAACCTTCACCTTCTTTATTGGGAGAAACTAGTTCATCTGATTAACTGGTCCTTTCGCCTTCAGCAGATATTGCTGTGCGTACAAGGAGATTTGCAGATCAATTAAGGGGGGGTGCCTTGTCCTCCTCGTTTATTGGACTCTTAGGGGTTAGACCCTCTAATTGGGGCTAAGGCAAAATGCCACTGTTCATCTTAATTAATCTCAGTTTCACAGAATTAGGCTGTCACTTACACCAGTATTGCATTTTTTATCATATTTGCAACAGTTTTCTGAAGCCTATCATGGATCCCCTGCTTAAATTTTGAAGGATCTTATTCATTAATTGACTTCCACTTTGGTCAGGTTATTGGCTTTTGCTCTCTCCTTGGTATCTTGGTTGTTTTGTTGCTGAATCTTTTGGAGAGAGATCCTTACTGAAGGGAGTCACCTTTTTATGTCAGCAGTTAATCTCAGAGAAGCTCGTTTTCTCAAACAGTCTATTTTTGCAGGAATTCCAGACTCCATGGAGTCTAGAGTAGATGTGGCTTATCTACATTCTTCACTTTCTAACTGGCTTCTCGACAGTCCCAAAGTTCTTCTACAGGATGGTTTACAGCATCTCCCATTTAAGTTTCCAGACCTCCTACTTTGGTGCCACAATCCATTGGAACATAAGGGTGAATTCAATCTTACCAGTGGGGATCCACTCCTAGGGTGGAGTATAGATTTCAGTGTTGGTGACTACCTAATGGGGTAAGGTCCTGTGGAGTCTCGTCTCAGGATATTTGTGTCAGTGTGGGGGACATTCACCACAGATCAGTAGGTCATTAAGTTCACGACTCCTCCTCCTCTGTCTCTAATACCAGTTGGCTTTCCACTTCCCATGGACCCTCTTGATATCAGCTAAATTGAACTAACTATTGATAAACACATAGAATTGGAGATGATGTTTAAAAAAAAATGTGTATTAAAATAAAAACTACCTTAAAATGTGTATAAAAAATTTAAGTATTTGAAAATGATTAAATTAATTGCATTGTGTGAAATGATGTATGTGTGTAATTACTTGTAGGTATTTTTTAATGTCTTAATGGGAGCAATGAACATGGGACAGGCATCACCATATCTTGAAGCTTTTGCAATAGCAAGAGGAGCAGCTGGAATGATCTTTGAGATCATAGAACGAGTAAGAGCAAAATCTTTCTGCTTTTGTGAATACTTAGGCTACTAATAGAACTGAACAAAATTCATGTCTCTTAGAATTCTTGTTGAACAACCTTGAGTTATTACTTAACTATTTTTCATCTTGTACATATGTATGTTAAGTAGTATTTCTTTTCTGGTTTTCACATTTTTTTAAGACAAACTTGAAACTACTGTAAGAATAACTTACTTTTGTATGACACTTGCTTAGCAACAATAAAATATGTCAGAAAGATAATGTGTGGTAATTGCTAAATAATATTAGAAATCCAAAAGATATGGATATTGTGCATTAATTAGCATTTAAAAGAAACAGTGATACCACTGTGTTCTACCATTAATAGGCTTATTCTTAATATTTTGGATTTTGATTCACTATCTGAGTACCAATACAACCTGAACAAATAAAGCAAATAAAAGTTCATAGAAATTTTTATGTGTAATTATTCTAATTGAAATTGTTTATACAGATTCCACTTATTGATAGTAGTTCAGAAACTGGTGAAAAACCTGCAACTCTAGAGGGAAATGTGGAATTTCATAATGTTCATTTTTCATATCCAGCTAGACCCGATGTTCCTGTAAGTAAAACAGTTGATGATGATGTTTAGCATTTTTATGTGTAGTTGCATATGTTATAAGAATATGTGCACATACATTACTCAAATAAAAGTCAATAAATTTGTTTATGAAACCACAATATAAACTTACACTAAACAGGTGATTTTTTGGACTCAATATATGAAGCTAGGATGTGCTGAAATTCAAATTTTACATTACATATTAAAAGAGTGGAATGTGTAAGTGTGGATATTACACTGTAATAACAATATACCAGTCTTTAATGCTTACTAGTTGTTGAACAGTTGCTAATTGTTGTTATTTAAGGTTCTTCAAGGGTTAGGTTTTGAAGTGAAATCAGGTGAAACTGTTGCACTAGTTGGAGCCAGTGGATGTGGAAAAAGTACAGTCGTTCAGCTTATACAGCGATTTTATGATCCAAAAGAAGGTCAGGTATGTGAACTGATTACACATTAAAATCAGTAAATAAAAAACAGATAATTTTATTTTACTGATTTGGTAGAATTATTTATTTCTCCTTTTGAACTAGAGCAGGCATGCTGTATTGTTTGAAGCTCACCTCAAAATGTTTCTCTGTAATTAGTGTGGGAGACTTGAAGTAAAATGCTTAATACTTTAGTTGTTTTGTTCCAGTAATGTATCTGTCATTTATTATAGGTCATGTTGAAAATGCATTTTGACCATACAATGCTCCAGATTTTAAAAAAAATGTTACCTGCAAAACTCAAAATGTGTGCCAGAAAATTTAAAAAAATGTTAAATTATCACGACAGATAGTGATATTGCCCAGTGTTTTACAATGATATCAAAGTTACTCAGACCACACACACACACACACACACACACACACACACACACACACACACACAACACACACACACACACACACACACATATATATATATATATATATATA